AGAGAGGGGGAGGGAGGGATTGGTTTGAGAACATGGAGGGAGGTGAGGGGAAGGAGAAGGGAGAGGGAGGGAGGTGAGAGGAGGGGGGGAGGTGAGAACTTTGGGAAGGAAGGGAGAGTTGAAATACGGGGGAAGGTGGTTTCAGACAGACTGCTATACTCCCCTTTCCTCCCCAGCTAGGCGTCCTTCACCGTCCACAAGACGGTGGGGGGCCACCTTCCAATTCAACACCCCTCACACATCGAGGGGTCAGCAGGCGGATTTGAACACGGAACCTCCGAGAGCAGAAGCGAGGCTAAAACTTCAGCTAGAAACTTGCCCTACATCCTGGGCACACACCAAAACTGTGCATCGCTTTGGAGCTTACCGGGATCGATCCGGTGACTCACACATGCGAAGCGCGCGCTCTACCACTGAGCTAAAGCCCCCCCTTTCACTAGTATCTATAAACATGAACATATAAAATATACACGTATCTATGTATGTGTCAAATGAGGGTTGCATACGGAGTGGACGAGGGTGGAGAGTGGGGGTAGTGACAGGGTACGCGCCGGGGGGACTACTGTGGGGCGCTCCTCATACTGCCGTACCAGTTCGCAACCCCTACAGTTTGATTATCCTCAATCTCCCATCCCAGTGCTGAAAACCCCCTCCCCCTCTCACCCGCGAACATCACTGAGATGCAGTCATGCGAGGTGGCCAGTGCGGCTGCGTCCTGGGAGGCCCACAGGTGGGGGGGAGACCCAGGGGGAAACCTTACACGCGAGTGTGTCCCGGGTGGGGGGGTGGGGGGGTGGGGGGGCCCGGGGGGTGGGAGAGCTCATGAAAGGGTAAACGAAGGGGGGAGAGAGGGAAAGGAGGGAGAACCCCCCTTCGGCCGGTGTTTGGGGGCAGTGGGAAATCATATAAACCTGGCAAGCACAGCGGGGGGGGGGGGGGAAGACGAACCACGTCAACGAGTGAAGCTGCTCTGCCAAGGAGGGAGTGCTGCGGCAGGGGGCCCAGAGGGGCGGAGAGGAAAGATGCGCCCTCCCCCCTCTCCGTCGAGGAGCACTGACAACATATTTCCAACAAAGGAGGTGGGTGTCCGCAAACAGCCGAAAACGCAAAACCGTCCACTGCCTTACGCACGGCCCGTCTAAAGCGCTGCGACTGCGAATTACGAAAAAAACTGAACTACGTGTTTTTGCGGCTTTGCATGTAAAATCCACCACCACCACCACCACCACCACCACCACCACCCGCCCCGACCGCCCATCTCCCCACCGAGATTCGAGGCATCAGGTTGTACGGCACCTTCACCATGCTCCTGCTGCTGCTCGGTGCGTGGTTGCTGTGAGCCTGCTCCTCCACCTGCTCTAGCTCGTCCCGCCGTACACTCATCATGTACTGCACCACGTGACTTGGCAATACTTCAGACAGCAGGCGGTGCTGGGCCTCCAGAGCCTCCACGAGGGAGCACTCCGCATGGACCTGAGGGGGTGGTGGTGGGGGGGGAAGGTGTGGGGAAGACGAACCACGTGAACGAGTGAAGCTGCTGCCAGGGCAAGAGTGTAGTGCCAGGAGTCGAGAACTGACCAAAAGGCGTTCTTGAAGGCGGTGACCTCGGGATGATGTAGGGAAGATGATGGAGGAAAAAGACTACCTACCTATAGCCGCCGTGTGTGAGGGGGCCGTGTGTGGGGGGGCCGTGTGGCGCCCGTGGGGGTTGAGGGATCGGGGTTGCGGTGGGCATCACAGCTCTGTAAACCATCAATCAACACCCCTCTCAATGCGCTGGCGAAGAATGTCCCCCTTCCCCGACCATCACCACCACCACCATCACCTCCACCACCACCACCACCACCACCACCACCACCACCACCACCACCAACAACAACAACAACAACAACAACAACAACAACAACAACAACAACAACAATAAGACGCCATATATTGCCACCACCTAAAAACGTAATCCGCAGCGATGGCAACAAACATACGACTGAGCAATAAATCCAAACATACATACATACATACATACATACATACATACATACATACATACATACATACATACATACATACATACATACATACATACATACATACATACATACATACATACATACATACATACATACATACATACATACATACATACATACATACATACATACATACATACATACATACATACATACATACATACATACATACATACATACATACATACATACATACATACGCCGAGCTGGCTACCCTCCCCCCCTGTGGTTTCCGGAGGCTTGATCGCCCTGCGTTGCCGCAGGGTCTTCCCGTTTGAGTACTTTTCAATTTAGACCCAGTGCTGTGGAAGGGCGCGGACTTGTGCGGTGTTACCCCCTCGACGGGGGCTATCTCCCCTGGACTAGCCCAGGGAGGGAGAGGCGGAGGAGGGTAGTAGTCTCAGGAGGCTGTTTGGCGTCTTGTGGTGTGAGCTCTTTGCGCTCTTTTTTGCGTGAGGATTTTTGAGCTTGGTGACCTCCCCAGCCCGGGAAGACTCGTCGGGCTCCCGGTCGCCCAAGTCCTGGTAGCGAGCTCTCTGAGATGCTCGGTTCGTTCGGTCGGCAGGAAGAGCCCCCCAGTTGCGACTTCGTTTATGTTAGGAGACCAACGGGCATAGATCCCGTCTAGTTGGAGCGCCAAACAAGCGCTGTTGCGTGCCGGCCGTCGTTTCCCGTGCGGCCTGACCCGGGGGCGGAGTGCATGAGACTAACCAGCCGTATGCACCCGCCCCCCGCGCTGTGCTTCGGCCCTGGGCCCCCGGCTTTTCAGCCCACAGTGTAATCAACGTCATACATACATACGTGCACACACAACACACAGTACACACGCACACAGGCCCACCTGGTTGGTGATGTCCGTCTGCACCACCAGCACCGCCCTCTGGCCGGTATGAGGCTCCAGGCAGGGCCGCACCATCACTTGATGCCACTGAAGACACTCAGACGCGTCAACTCCACCTCCACCTCCATCTACAACACCGCCACCGCCACGAGCATTGCACGCCAGGCCGCCGCCGTCGGGACCGCTGCGGCGGCGCAGCACCGCCGCCGCCGCCGCTCCGGATGCCGCCGCCGCCGCCGCGGAAGCAAACACGGCCGTCCCGCTAAGGAGATCACAGCCGCCGGCCCCGCCGCCGCCGTCAGTCGCCGTACTCGCCCTGTAAGATCGTCCAGCTTCAACTACGGAATCTAGAAGGTTCATCAGATCCTGCGTGGAGGCTTGTGTACGGCGGGACATGTTATTGTTGTTGTTATTGTTGCCACCTACGGTGCTCGATAGCAAGCTCAAGAGTGCCCGGCGCCGGCGGATTGAGAAAGACGCGGCGGCGGTGGCGCCGCCGCCGCCGCTGCCGCCGGCAGCGGCAGCGTACGGCCAGATGTCACAATCGCCGCCGCCGCCAGCAGCCGTGCCTCTGGGGAAGATAGGTACGGAAGCGGAGGCGATGGCGGAGACAGAGGCCGGGATAGAGAAGGCGCTGTTTGTGCCAGTCCGGGTGTGGCGGGATGCAGCAGCTGGCGGGACGCGCGGTAAGGTAGAAGAAGCGGAGCGGCCAGCGCCGACGATGGTAGTAGCGGCGGCGGCAGCGGCGGTGGGGATGGCAGGGTTCCTAAGGCGTACGGCCGATGGCGGGCGTGCTGTGTACTGCAGCAGCCCAGGCCGCCAGGGTACAGCAGACCGGAGCGCCATTACGCGGCGATGAGGTGTGACGTCACTGGCGACACCAGTGTACGGCGGCCACGGAACCGGCGGCGGCGCCGCCGCCATCGCAGCCGCCGCCGCGGAGGCGGCAGCTGCTGGGTAGGAGAAAGCCGACGGCAGCAGACACGGCGACAGCAAGGGCGACTCAGGGAACATCGGGGGAGGGGGAGGCGGAGGCGGTGATGACGCCGATGTTGGCGCAGGTAATCGCATGCCAGCGCCGGGAGCTGTGGCCGCAGCGGCAGCGCCGCCGCCACCTCCTCCCAGTATGGCCTCGGCGGGCGCTGCTGCCACAGCCGCGCGCGGGGAGCTGTCGGTGATGGCGTCCAAGCCCACAGCCTCGCGAGGTTGGAGCTCTGGCAACAGCCGCAGTCGCGGCGCCAACGAAGCCGGCGGCGGCGGCTGTGACGGAGGCGGGTCCCGGTCCCCGACGGCGCCGTCAACGCTGCCTCGAGGCAAGGCGTCGAAAACGCACCCACCCATAGCGGCGGCCGCTGCTGCGGCGGCGGCGGCGGCAGCAGTTGCAGTAGCAGTAGCGTCGCTGCCGCTGCCGCCGCTGCCGCCAAGGAAGAACGAGCCTGCCGTAAGCCTGGCCGCCCTGGCCGCGGCCGCCGTCGCTGAGCCGCGTGTGTACCGATCAGGCTACAAAGTGTGGAGAAGGTAGAAGGTAGAAGGGAAAGGCAGCAGCGGCGGCGCGAGCATTCAGGGCAACCAAACCCCCTCATCCTGCGAAACCTTAGCGTCTCAAGTATAGTGGAAGTGAAATCTATAATTTATAGAAAGAATGTTGTATAATTTGGAATAGTACATAAAGAGTTCTGACTTCCTTTGTGCCTGTGCCTATGCCTATATACGTGTCTATATACGTGTGTGTACATGTGTGCGGAGACGGCGCGTCATCGTGTGCTTCTGTTGGAGCGAAGCGACGGTGACGCCAACCACAGGGGATGCCAGCCCACTGGCCACTAGCGGAGCCGTACAGCCAGCCAGCCCACAGTAAGGGAGGGATCCGCGACCGCCCCAGAGGCAGGCCCCGGACCTGTCATTGGCCCTCACCCTCGCCCAGCCCGAATCCCAACCGCTCTAGCTTTTCTTTCCAAGTCTTTTCCCTACGCGTTTTACAGAATACAGTGGCTGCAGTTTTGTTCCACTTAGAAAGTTTAGTTGAAGCTCGTTCCTAAGGGAAGTCCTGATGCGGCTTCTAACCGCTCCGCTTTCAGGGTGTGTGGCAAAGCAGCCGCTGCCGGCGCGGGGCTCGGTCGGTCATGTGATCAGCGGTAAGGTAACGTTATGTTATGTTATTTAATGTAGAAAGCATCTTTTTTATTTACATTACGCACCAGCGGTAGCAGCAGAGACAGCTCCAGCTGCGAGTCCTCATCAAGACATGGTGCAGTTGCCGGCACCACTTCCACCAGACTGGCAGCAGCCCCGTCCTTCTCCTCGTTTGCCGCCGCCGCCGCCGCCGCCGCCGCTACTGCTAATTGCTTTGAGGAACTGGAAGAGGAGGACACGGGTGTGGTAGCTCTGCCATCGGTGCTGGCGGCAGCGTCGACGCCGATTCCACTGGAGGAAAAGGGCACTAGGGAGGTGCTCCTGCCGCCGCCGCCGCCGCCGATGCCGATGCCGATGCCCACGCCACTGCCGCCCCCAGCGGCACTGCTGCTGCCGCCGCCGCCACTAGCCCTACCAGCGCCACTACCATCTGTCGTGGCAGAACACGTGGGCAGTGACGCGGCGCACCCGAACTCAACGGGCTCCACGACAATGTCCTTCCCCCCCTCCGCCAAAGAACACGACAACACCACAGCACTCGATACAGCCGCGGCGGCGGCGGCGGCGGCAGTAGCGAAATGCTGGGTACGCGGATACCGGCTGTTGCGGCCCTGATGGACTTGGGAAGAGCACTCGGTAGTGGTGGCGGCGGTACCTCCACTGCCGCCGCTGCCGCCAGCTGCGGCTGCGGCGGCGGCAGTAGCGGTGGCGGCGGCGCTGATGATGGAGCCGCTGCCCGCACCGACAGTCGAGACTCCATCAAAGCTGAGCGACCGAATCGACTGCTCCAGGGTGGACATGATCGCGTGGTGCTGTAGAAGGAAGTTACTGGTTTCGGAGTTGGACATCGGCCGCTGGCGCAGCAGCTGCTGCTGTTGCTGCTGCAGCGGCGGCAGCGACGGCTTTGGCTGCCGCGGCTGTTGCTGCTGTTGTTGTTGCTGTTGTGGTGGCGGGAGGAGGGGCTCAAAGTCCAAGGAGAACGTGGTGTCTAGGCCGGGAGTGGTGGAGCCGGTTATCGTGAGGCCGCCGCCGCCGCCGCCGCCGCCACCGCCGCCAGCGGCAATACCGCCAATGCCGCCGCCGCTGAGCTCCGTTGTCGTATCTGTACGGCACACATGGATGGAACAAGGGGGATGCCCCGACAGGGGCATTAGGGGGAACCACGTGACGCAAAGAGCAAAAGATCAAATGCTGAGGGGAGCTGCATAAGGGGGGGAAAGACGAACCACGTGAACGAGTGAAGGTGCTGCCAGGGCAAGAGTGTAGTGCCAGAAGTAGAACTGACCAAAAGGCGTTCTTGAAGGCGGCGACCTCGGGATGATGTACTGAAGATGATGTCGGAAAAAGACTACCTACCTATAGCAGCCAGGACTAAAAAAGCGCGGAAAAAAAAACAGTAATGCCAAGCCGTAAAAAAGTAGGTGTAAAAGCGGCGGAGAAGTAGTAAAGAACTGCTGACGTGAAGCTGGAATAAAGTTTGCCGCCGGCCTGGCATACGGCCTGGCATACGGGGAGCCAGGGGGCCAGGGGACACACGTCCATTACGCGCGGAGGTCGAGGTGCTGAAAAGAGTGCGCTGCACCGCTCGTTCTCTTAAACACTTGCGCGCGCGCGCGAGGGCATGAAGTAACATGGCATAAAAAGCGCGACGCAGGACTCGACCCAGGAATCTTGATCAGGACTAAACCCCTGTGCTGCTGTGCTATATAATACTACGTTGCAACAAAATACACTGCGCTATACAGTAAATGAGAATGATTTACCGCAATTGACTGGGACATACTTATACCGTACTCATACTCACTGAATGGGTCCGGTCCATCCACAAACCACGAGGACCCAGTACCCGTGACCGCAAGTGCCGCCGCCGCCGCCGCCGCCGCCGCAAACGGCCCTTCACGGTGCCCGCCACCGCTGCCGCCGCCGCCGCCGCCAGGGCTTCCACCAAAGCTGCCACCGCCGCCGCCGCCGCCGCCGCCACCACGCCGTACCATCATGGCGTGAGCCACAGGATCCAGACCAGGAACTCCGGCAGGAAATGAGTTGAGTGACGGCCAGGCGGCCCGGCTCACGTTCTCGAGAGGCAGACGGTTGCCGTTACTACCGTTACAGTTACCGTTACGGTTAAAAATGCTAGTGGCGCCAAAGGACGAGCTCGCGCACGGGGGGTTGAGGACGTGGCGATGTTGCGATTGCTCCTCCTGCTGCTGCCGCTCCTGCTGCTGGAGCTGCTGGAGGTAGTGGTGGTATTGCATCATAGCGACTGAAACTTGCCGTCCAGCCGGCAACGGCATGGGCGGCGATTCTTCTTGAGCACGGGGCACGAGGCCAAAGCTCGAGGCTCCGTGAACTGCGGGCTGGAGGTCCCCCTCCTCCTCCTCCTCCTCCTCCTCCGCCGCCGCCGCCGCCGCCGTTATCGCTGCATCTGTTCCGCTTTGCATTCTTCGGATTTCAGACTGGGCTACCGCATGAATCTGAATCGGCGTCTGAGTCGGGGTTTGGGTCTGGGCGCGCTTCGCATGCGGTCTTCCCAGGCTGCTGACTTCTTCTCGATGACGACGATGCTCCTCGGGCTCCTGAGGAGGTGGTGTGGGGGGCGACAACGGTGCCTCCGCACCCACGGACGCAAGGCGCTGAGATGATGCGGCAGCGCCGACACGGCGGCGTTCCGAAGCCTCCCGGCGTTCTACTGCCGCCGCCGCCGCTGCCACTGCCACACCCGCCGCTGCCGCCAGCGCGGCGGCGACACCGCTGCCGGCCGGCGGATTGGCTGCAACTGGATGCAGGTGAAGGTATGGCGGCATGAGCACCACGCCCTGCCACTCCTGGGATTCGATCGGGGGTTGCGCACGGTGAAGGTGTGTTTAGTCAGGAACCCAAAGTCAAATGGCGCACAGGAAACAAATAAGACACAGAAAAGACACGAAAACAGACAGAGGAGAAGAAATACCAAAAAACATGAAAACAACTTCTCGATAGGTTTCAACCTCTTATCCTGTACCATACACGGCACCTCCCCTCCCCCATCGTGAGCGCGAGCTTTATATATCGCACAGCACCGTGTGGCGCTACGATTTCATTTTGTAGTACGCACTAACCAGCCGTATACAGTACCACGGCAACGTACGGTCCTCGTTCTGAGCGGTACGAGCGGCACCCCTGGCGGTACATGGCGCAGAACATACATACATACATACATACATACATACATACATACATACATACATACATACATACATACATACATACATACATACATACATACATACATACATACATACATACATACATACATACATACATACATACATTCATATCATATACATACATCTCGCATACACCTCGCACCTCGCCTCTCTCCACCGCACGCAACGCAGCCTCGCCCTTCCCAGGCTCCAACGAAAACAGCACCCGAAGCACTTCAACATTGGATGGGCCCACAAGCTCTCCGCCACGGTCGGCCGCGCGGCAGGAGGAGGAGGAGGAGGCGGCGGCGGCGGCCC